CACGGTGTCTTACGCCTATAATCCCAGCGCTTTGGGAGGCTGAGGCCGGCAGATCACTTGAGGCCAAGAATTTGAGACCAGCCTGACCAACATGGTAAAACCTCATCTCTACTGAAAATACAAAAATTAGCTGGGTGTGGTGGCGCATGCCTGTAATCCCAGCTATTTGGGAGGCTGAGGCACGAGAATTCCTTGAACCTGGGAAGCAGAGGCTGCAGTGAACCAAGATCTTACCACTGCACTCCAGTCTGGGAGATAGACAGAGACTCTCTCTCTCTCTCTCTCTCTCTCAATAAAAACAAAAAAATCCTCAAACAAAAAGAAACATAATATTAGGTTGAACTTTATGACATTTCTATAGCCATTTTTATAAATTAATTTCATATGGTTCAACCTAATATATTGGTGAAAAGAGTCCGAGGCAAACTTGGATTCAAATCCCAGCTTCAGTATGCATGATTCAGTATACAACATCTCAGTTGTGTAACCTTGGACAAATGTACTTACCCTCTCTCTGAGCCACAGTAGTCTCATCTGTAAAATGGGCATAAACAGAGTCTGTAACTCAGGGTTATGGCTGAAATTAAATGGAATAATGCAAGTAAGGGGTCTGGCACACTGCAATCCCAGAATAAATGGTGGCCATAATTGTGGGTGGTGGTTTTTTCTTTCTTTACTGTATTTTTCAAATTTCCTATAATATAGTTTTTTTAAAATTCTAAAGCTAATAAACATAATTATTTAATTTTTTTGTTTGTTTTTGTTTTTTGAGATGGCGTCTTGCTCTGTCACCTAGGTTGGAGTGCAGTGGCACAATCTCGGTTCACTGCCACCTCTACCTCCTGGGTTCAAGCAATTCTCCTGCCTCAGCCTCCGAAGTAGCTGGGATTTTAGGCACCCACCACCACGCCTGGCTGATATTTGTATTTTTAGTAGAGACGGAGTTTCACTATGTTGGCCATGCTGGTCTTGAACTCCTAACCTCAGGTGATCTGCCCACCTCAGCTTCCCAAAGTGCTGGGATTACAGGCGTGAACCACCATGCCCAGGCAATTATTTAATTTTCAAAGGAATTGTGCTCTATTCCCTGAAGATCTTGAGTGGGGATCTTGAGTCTGTTCCTGGGAATGTGGTTGAGGGCTTTTTTCCAGCCCTGCTGTGGCTTGGCTTGGCTGGACAAAGACAGTGACCTGAGAACAGGGCTAGAAGTTTCTGCTTGGTGGGACCCTGGGAGCTTTATTTACAAAGGACACTCTGTCCCATGGCCCAAACTGCTCCCTCACTCCAGCATCTGCTGTATTGACTGAACCCTTCAGAGAGGCTGCTTTGACCCATCCTGTCCCTCAAACCCTGGGTCACAGTGCTCAGTGTCCGCCTTGGTCATGACAGCCTTTGGCATGGTCCTCTTTACTTAGAAGCAGCTTCTGGGTCCTAAGCACAGAAGCTGAGCTCAATTTTCATAATGTCCAGTACCAGGAGTGGGCTACAGAGTTTTGTTTTGTTTTTGAGACAGAGTCTTGCTTTGTCGCGCAGGCTGGAGTGCAATGGCGCGATTGTGGCTCACTGCAACCTCTGCCTCCTGGACTCAAGCGATCATTCCACCTCAGCCTTCTGAGTAGCTGGGACTACAGGCATGCGCCACCACAGCCAGCTAATTTTGGTAATTTTTGTAGAGACAGGGTTTCACCATGTTGCCCAGGCTGGGACTACAGTTTCTGTTTAGGATGATGCAAAAGTTTTGGAAATAAATAGTGGAGGAAATATAGGGTACAAACTTTCAGTTATAAGAATTCTGGGGATCTAAGGTGCAGTACGGATGGTGACGGATGTGTTCATTAATGCGATTGTGGGAATCATTGCACAATGTGCACATATGTCAAATCATGTACACATTGAATATATACAATCTTTTCTTTGTCAATTAAATATCTGTTAAAATAGTGGGGATAATTGCACAACATTGTGAATGTAATTGAATGCAATCGATGACATAGTAATGTATACTTACAAATGATGAAGATGGGTGGGGCATGGTGGCTCATGCCTGTAATCCCAAAGCTTTGGGAGACTGAGGTTGGAGGATTGTTTGAAGCCAGAAGTTGGGGTCCAGCTTGGGCAACAAAGCAAGCCTCTATCTCTGTAAAAATAGAAAAATAAAAATTAGCCAGGTTTGGTGGTACGCTCCCATAGTCCCAGCTACTCAGGAGGCTGAAGCAGGAGGATCACTTGAGCCCAGGCATTCAAGGCTGCAGTGAGCTCTGATTGCACTACTGCACTCAAGTCTGAGTGACAAAGTGACACCCTTGTCCCTAAAGAAAAAAATGGTTAAAATGGCAACTTTTGTGTTAAGATTTTTTCACAATGTTTTAATTTATATTTTTCTTTTCTTTCTTTCTTTCTCTCTCTCTTTCTTTCTTTCTCTCTCTCTCTCTCTCTCTTTCTTTCTTTCTTTCTTTTTTTTTTTTTTTTTTTTTGAGACGGAGTCTTGCTCTGTAGCCCGGGCTGGACTGCAATGGCCCGATCTCAGCTCACTGCAAGCTCCGCCTCCCGGGTTTACGCCATTCTCCTGCCTCAGCCTCCGGAGTAGCTGGGACTACAGGCGCCCGCCACCTCGCCCGGCTAGTTTTTTGTATTTTTAGTAGAGACGGGTTTCACCGTGTTAGCCAGGATGGTCTCGATCTCCTGACCTCGTGATCCGCCCGTCTCGGCCTCCCAAAGTGCTGGGATTACAGGCTTGAGCCACCGCGCCCGGCCTTTCTTTCTTTTTTGGAGCAACCTTATTAACTGAACCACAATTTAAGTAAAAAAAGAAGAAAAAAAAAGTCCAGAATGCACTAAAGGGAGAAGGTTTCATGAAATCACCTGGGACTGACTGAGACACAGTAGGAGATCTGGATTTAGGCCCTGTTCCGCTTCTTCTTTGGCTCCATGACCTTGGGTAACTTAACTCTTCTGAGGCTCAGCTTTCTCTTCTGCAAAGTGGCCTGATATGATGCTGCCCTCTGAGGGTGTCATGAAGCTCAAATATGATCAAATGTGTGAAACTCTTTTGTAAAAAAAAAACTCAGTAGTTGTTCATTAGCATTGTCCTACCACCACTATCAAAGAGAAAAAAAAAAAAAAAGGAAAAAAAAAAGAAAAAAAGGAAAAAAGAAAGAAAGGAAAAGAAAAGAAAGCATTATAAACAAACTACCAGAGTACGTTGTGTTGCTCTGAGGATGCCTGAAATGCCACATTAAGGCTGTTTGATGGGAACCTCCAGAAATAAGGAAAGGAAGAAGAGAAACTAAAGGAATCTCTCAATCTCTGGCTCCTCACCATGAATGAGATACTGTATTTTCTCTTGGACTGGCTATTTTTTTCTTTTTCTTTTTCTTTTTTTTTTTTTTTAATTTCTAAAATTCAACCAGAGCCTACTTAGAACTGGGTTGGCTTTTGTGGGACCTGCAGGGAGGTGGCAGTGAGACTTAAGGTGTCAGAGGAGCACAGACTGGGGAAGGCTGGGGTGCCGAGGAAGCACCCCCAACATCACAATTTTGCCCCAGTGTTGGGCAGAGGAGAAATGTCCTTAGCTTGTCTCCTCTTCCCCCTCTCTCCCTCTTTCCTCTGCCTTCATACCTTAAGTTGCCTTTCCCATCTTTCTCCTGGGAGTTTTATTTCTGTCCCTTTTTTCATCTAAAGCAACGGAAATGAATCATCTTTCAGCCTGTTTAATAAACAGCTCCATGCCCCCTGACCCCAGTTGACTCTCTCACTGGTTCCTCTGTGGCTGCTCCTGGGCTAGGCCTCACCCCCTCACAGGCAAGGCCCCCTCATGGCTGGCTATTCTTGGTAATGTTCTCCACCCTCCCTTCCCACTCAGTCCTGGCAGCTTGACCTCCTCCACCCCAGGGATGACGGGAATCACACACAGCATTCCAAGTGACAACTGCACGAGCTGCCCATAGGGGCAGGGGAAGCAAGGAGGCCACCATGTTTGGAGGGTTTCTTTGTGCCATCTCAATGACCCTATTAGTGGATCTTATAGTCTTCATTTTACGGTTGAGGGTTCGGAGGCTCAGAGAAGTGAAGGAACTTGCCCAGAAACGAACAATTGGGAAATGTGGAAATGAAGGAGTCAACGTTTAAAGCCTGAATTTCTGGATTCCTGAATTCATTCCATTACACCATACTGCTATGCGTGTGTGTGCACGTGTGTGCTTGTGCCCGCATGTATGTTGAATGGGAGTGTGGGCAGGTCAGCTAGAACATCAGCTGCAATTCACCAGGATGGAAACCTGATTTTATGCTGAAGGTTAACACCTGTCTATCAGATGCATAAGACACAGATGCATTAAGCCATATGCCTATGATAGACAGGTATTAACCTACAGAGGTGATGGCAAGTATGTGCAGTATGTATTTCACCAGGAGGCCCATGAGTCACTGAAGATGATGTCAAGGATTAACAAAGATGGGGGAGAGGGAAAGAGGATTAATGAAATGCTGGGATTTAAGACCACCTATACCCTGCCTTAGCCTCACGGTGATGGAACTTCACAGGTTAAAGTGCCTGGCTGTGTCCACCTTGGTGAAACCACACTTTTCTGGTGAACAAAATCATGCAACTATTAGTTGGACTTCTAAAAATGTGCAGGTATCATTTATAGGAGCTATATGGAATACAGACATAAAACTGCGGACGTCAAACTCCCTGGTGTAGGCATGTGTATGTGTCTGGGTTCAGAGAGTGGAATTAACACAAGTATATAAATAACCGTGATGCAAGGTAGATAGAAAGTGCTCAGGGCTAAAAGAAATTGACAGATACTACAACAGTATTATTGGAGGCCCAGAGGCTAGAGAGATTACTCCAGGCTGGGTATCACAGAGGGCTTCCTGAGGAGGTGGCATTTGCATATAAATACGTCTCCAAATAGATGTAAGATCTTACATTAACAGAACGTTTTAACAGAAGTTAGATTCTGGTTTCCAAGAAGCGCTGAGATGCAGACATATGCCCTTGTTCCTCTTTCCTAGACGTGGAAACTGAGACCCAGAGAGGTTGAATAGGTTGTCCACAGTCTCGCAGCTACCAAGTGACAAGCCACGATTTGATCTCGGGTCAGTGTGTTAGACTCCAAGTTGCGTGCTCCTGTCCCTCCCCGCGCGTCGGCGGAGCTCGGGGCTGGACTGGACCCGCCGAGGGAGGGGCGGACTGTCCTGACGGGGCGGGGCGGGGCTGGCGGCCTCCCAGGCCTGGCTGAGGCGCTGCGGCCGGGTCCCTCTCCACCTGCCGGGCCGAGCGCACGGGCCATGGGCTGAGCCCCGCTGAGCCCGCCGGGCCGGCCATGGGCGACCGCGAGCCCAACAAGAAGCGGCTGCTGGAGCTGCTGCGGGCGCCGGACACAGGCAACGCGTACTGCGCCGACTGCGGGGCGGCAGGTAAGGGCGCGGCAGCGCGGGTAGCGTGAGACCCCCGGCCGGACCCCTGGCCCACCCGACTCCTCCCCTCGGCACCACCGGGTCCTGCCCTCGGCCCCCGCTGGACCCAGACGTGGGACCTGCGGGCCCGGACCCCTCCCACCCACATCGTGAACCTCTCACCCGAGCCCCGAGGGCCTTCTCCGCACCCGGCCCCGGCCCCTCCGAGCCCAGGCTCTGCTCGCCTCGCGGGACCAGACGCGGATCTTCCCACGTGCTTGGACCCCGACACGACAGCCGGCAGCCGGGAGCCCTGCTGGTCCCGCTCTCTTCCCTGGCCAGGCACCCGACCACCTGGGTCCGGGCTCTCCGTGTCTGCGCACCCAGGCGCGCCCCCAGCCCTCGGACTCAGACATCCCAGCTAGAGCTAGAGGTCGGGCCCAGGCCCCCTACAGCCCTGTACCCCCTGCCCGCTCCCGGACGCCCCCCGAAGGGCTCCCCAGCGCCCCACCCGGCTGACGCCGAGGGCCCCCTGACTCAGCCTCCCAACCTGCAGCTCCGCGCCGAGTCCCGCGGTGCGCCCCCCGCGCCCTCCTCTCGGTTCCCTCTGAGTCCCGTCACTTCCACGTCGCGCCACCTCAGACTCTCTCCCCGCACCCTGGACTGCTTCCAGGATCTTCACCCCGGTCGCCGCGCAGCGGCCGGTGGTCTAACCAGAAAGTGTCAGGCTGGCCACTTAGTTCGCCTTAGGTGGGAGAAGGGGCACCCCGCCTGCCCCAGCGCCCCGAGCCCAGCCCTGGTTTCTTCACCGCGCTTTCCGCTCAGCTCCTCTCCTACCTCTCCCCCTGCAGATCCCGACTGGGCCTCTTACAAGCTGGGGATCTTCATCTGTCTCAACTGCTGCGGTGTCCACCGTAACTTCCCTGACATCAGCAGAGTTAAATCCGTGCGACTTGACTTCTGGGACGACAGTATTGTGGAGGTAGAAAGGCATGCCCGTGGAGAGCCTTGGAACTGCGGAGCTGGAGTGGAGCCAATGGGCAGGGGGCTCCCGTTCTACAGAGGGGGAAACTGAGACCCAGAGAGGGGCAAATCTAACCAGAGGAAACACAGCCTATAAGATGGCAGCTTAGACAGAGGCCCTGAGTTCAAATTCTGGCTCCATCATGTGCTTACTTTTTTTTCTTTTTTTTTTGAGACGGAGTTTTGCTGTGTTGTCCAGGCTGGAGTGCAGTGGAGCAATCTTGGCTCCCTGCAACTGCCGCCTCCCGGGTTCAAGTAATTCTCCTGCCTCAGCTTCTCAAGCAGCTGGTATTACAGGCGCGTGCCACCACGCCCGGCTAATTTTTTTGTATTTAGTAGAGACGGGGTTTCACCATGTTGGTCATGCTGGTCTAGAACTCCTGACCTCAGGTGATCCACCACCCCGGCCTCCCAAAGTGCAGGGATTACAGGCCTGAGCCACTGTTCCTGGCCATCATTTGCTTACCTATAAACTGGGAGGCCCTGAGCTAGGCACTTAGACCTAGCTGTGGACTCTCAGTTTCCACATCTGTATTCAAGGGATACCACCACCATTTCTCTTTTTTTCTTTCTTCCTTTTTTTTTTTTTTGAGACGGAGTTTTGCTCTTGTCGCCCAGACTGGAGTGCAATGGCGCAATCTCGGCTCAATGCAACCTCTGCCTCTGGGGTTCAAGCAATTCTCCTGCCTCAGCCTCCTGAGTAGCTGGGATTACAGGCACCCACCACCACGCCCAGCTAATTTTTGTATTAATTTTTAGTAGAGATGGGGGTTTTGCCATGTTAGTCAGGCTGGTCTCGAACTCCTGACCTTGGGTAATCCACCCACCTCGGCCTCCCAAAGTGCTGGGATTACAGGCATGAGCCACTGCGCCTGGCCACCACCACCAATTTCACAACACTGCTGTGAAGATGATTGTAGGCTCAGTCCAGACACAAAAAAAGTAGTCAGTTAACAGTTGCTGTTGGACGGGTGTGGTGGCTCACACCTATAATCCCAGCATTTTGGAGGCTGAGGCTGGTTGATCGCTTGAGCCCAGAAGTTCAAGGGCAGCCTGGGCAACATGGTGAAACTTTGTCTTTACAAAAAATATAAAAACTAGCTGGGTGTGGTGGCATGTGCCTGTCATCCCAGGTACTTGGGAGGCTGGGGTGGGAAGATCACCTGAGCCTATGAGGGTGTGGCTGCAATGAGCCAGGATCACACCACTGCACTCCAGCCTGGGTGAGAGTGAGACCCTGCCTCAAAACAAACAAACAAACAAACAAACAAAAAAGTTATGATTAGTGAAGTCTTGCACTGGGGGAAGGGAAATAACCTGATTCGTGGTCTAAAGTCCTCCTCCTTTCCCCCTAGGCAGAAAGAGGACCACTTTGCTCTTCTGCCCTCTGGGGGTGGAAGATACCCTCAGCCTGCATGGGAATTCCATTTTGGTCAGAAAACCTCCAGAGAGCAGGCAGTTTTGCACTGTGCGGGCTGGCTGAGGGTTTCCAGGACTATTGGGGAAGCAGGCTGACGTTTACTGAGTGCCCACTCTGTGCCAGGTACTGTGCTAGACAGCATTGGACTAGAGGCTTTAGCGTGACCTTACTATGTACTGGGTCTTGGGAGAGAACAATGAACAAGATAAGGTCCCTGGCCATACAGAGCTTACATTCTAGTGTGGGAGAAAGGCTGGAAACCAGTAAACCAGCACATAAACCTGAAGGATTTTATTTGCACCTTATAACTCCCATGTTATATTTTCTTTTTTCTTTCTTTCTTTTTTTTTCGAGACGGAGTTTCACTCTTGTTGCCCAGGCTGGAGTGCAATGGTGCGATCTTGGCTCACTGCAACCTCTGCCTCTGGGGTTCAAGTGATTGTTGTGCCTCAGCCTCCCGAGTAGCTAGCTAGGATTATAGGCATGCACCACCACGCTTGGCTAATTTTGTATTTTTGGTAGAATTTTTACTAGAGACAGGGTTTCACCCTGTTGGTCAGGTTGGTCTCAAACTCATGACCTTAGGTGATCCGCCTGCTTTGGCCTCCCAAAGTGCTGGGATTACAGGCATGAGCCACCGTGCCCAGCATTTTGTTTTGTTTTGTTTTGTTTTGTTTTTTGAGATGGCGTCTCACTCTGTCACCCAGGCTGGAGTGCAGTGCATGGCTCAATCTCAGCTCACTGCAATCTCCACCTCCTGGGTTCAAGCGATTCTTCTGCCTCAGCCTCCTGAGTAGCTGGGATTACAGGCACCTGCCACCATGCACAGCTAATTTTTTGTATTTTTAGTAGAGATGGGTTTTCACCATGTTGGCCAGACTGGTCTCGAACTCCTGACCTGAGGTGATCGACCTGCCTCAGCCTCCCAAAGTTCTGGGATTACAGGTGTGAGCCACAGCACCCAACTCCCTGTTATATTTTCTTCTTCTTCTTCCTCCTTCTCCTTCCTTCCTTCCTTCCTTCCTTCCTTCCTTCCTTCCTTCCTTCC